CATGATACTCAATCTGAGCATCTGGAAAGAACTCTTCTGAAATCTAAAATTAGCCAATAGACCTTAGTTACATTCCTCCACACTGAAAGTGTAGCAGCTGGTCTATGTAGACGGTTTTCATGATTCGTGTTTGATTACAATGTTGGCAAATATGAGGTTCTTCTTAAAATGCGCACTGTGTCATTTGTCAATAAAGCTACTCCAAGAGTAGTCCTAGTGTCTAACGTTATTTAGAAAAGTCACAATTGCAAGGAATGAAATGTTCAATAAATGCAGTAAGTGTAGTTGTTCCAATTTGCTCAAATGTAAAAGTTACTATGTTTTCATTTTCAAAGACTTCACAAGTCAAATTCAAAATTGGTTAAAATGCTTGTGTGTGTGTGTGTGTGTGTGTGTCTTCTGTGAACTACAAAAAACTGGAAGTAACATAAATGGAAGGTATTATTTTGTATATCGGCCAGAACTATTAACATCAGCCACAAAGAATTAACATTCCTAATTCTGTTCAGGAGGGAGATGGTAGTGTTTTCACTATGTCAAACTGAAACATAGTAACACTTCTTAATTTCTAATCTGTCCTAATTCACAACAAACCGTGAACAATCGGAAGAAAAATTGAATCCTGGCGGGTCCCAATCCCTAACGCTCATCAATCTAAATTTGCCCATTACTAGTAGATTCCTCTAACGATAGATGTATCCGACATTAAAGCGAAAGGAAACAATGATAATAAATACATTTAAAATCGTTCACTAAACAAGATGAAATCAGTAAATACATTTGGTCCAAGACAGATACAGCAAAGTTCTGGGGGTGGCGGGTACAGACAGAAACCTCAACAAAATTCAGAAAGGAGAGTCGAAATGAAGAGTGTGTTTTTCATTTTTTGATTTTAATTTTACCTGTGCCCATTTGCTAATGCACAATGAAGTAGATACATGGTCTTTGCAGCTTAAGATGTTTTGCTTTTTGCCTCTTTCATTTATTTTTTTAATGATGGTGCAAATTCATTGCCTTTTTGGGAGGGGAAAAAAGGGGGTGAACATTCAGATGATGTTCGGATGAAGGGGATGCTAGCGAAGATTTCTGAATACATAAGTGAGTTGTTGAATATAAAATTTGAATCCATTTAAAAAATTCCATCTAAAACATTCAAATGTTACTGAACTAACGAACTTGGTTGCCCTTAGGTGCTCGAGTAGTCTAAGGCAATCAAGCAACAGCAGTGTGAACAGACGGTATATTTCCCCACAAGCCATTTGGTATTTTGACCTTCACAGACTGGCTCTTCTTTCCCTGCCCCCCACCCCACCCCAATAAAACTGGAAAGAGAAACATCCTTGAGTTCCATGCAGGCCTCATTAATAATCTGTAAAGCGTGTTGTGCTTTCTCTATTTCTTTATTTTTGGCGATTAGTTTTTTTTTTTTTTAACAACTATTCAAATGAATGGATGTGCCTGTTTTTTTTTTTAATAACTGAGTGTTTCAAAGAACCCTGGATTTTTGTGTAAATGAAGCGTGTGGGTGCACGCTCTCTAGGGCTCCACCTTCTGACTCTGCAGCCAACTCCCGCCCGATGGGAACACATGTGTACACGTGGACACACAGACACCCAGACACACACACAGACACTTAGAGTTGAAAAGATGCACTTCGCAAAGTACCTGCTTGTTTTGTTAACGTTCTAAAATTATAACTAGATAAGAATGGTCTAAAAGAGATACGACTTTATGCAACAAGTTGGTATTAAAACTAGCCTGCTATTCCAACGCCCTTAAGCAATCTGATTTGTAATCAAGTAATATTCAGCTCCAAGAATAAAAAATAGGTTCGCGGTCACTCGAAAAGGGGAGTTTTTGTCTGGTTTTGTCTTCCCTAAAGTTTCTCTGAAGAACATGTGACCTGTCCTTACTTCGTGAATCTGAAAATGACAGGCACACCTTGTCAAATGGACAGAAGAGTCATTCACATGAACAAAAGAAACCGTACTAAACCTTAGCTTCAGTTCTGTGTTAAGGCACCATGTAATAGCCGAGGTACGATGATCCCTGATGTACATTCTTCAATGGCAATGCTCCATCCAGCCACCCATCCAAATCCTACAGAATTGGGAATCGGTTAACAGTGAGGTGTGCCAGTTACACTGCCTTCAGGTTCTGCTTAGAATTTAAATCCACACACTTTAGAAACCAGGAAATAGTTTTGCAGGAAATAACCATATGCAGGTTGCTACATTCCTTGCATTCTATATATTTTCTTTTATAATAGCAGCATATTGAACTACTATTAGGAAAAAGACCTGGAATAAAAGAAAGTCATCCAAATGGAATGGTTTCCTGTATGTCCAGCTCAGCATAAGTAGCATGTACACTTACAACAAAACAAAAACACAAACACAAAAGTCAAGTCATTTCTTTTTCAGCTTCAGCGTCTAACTATAACAGCCCCCACTTCCCAGCAGATTGCATCTGTGCAGTGGTCCCAAATACAGAGTCAGTAGTCTTTACACAGAGGAATTGGTTTGAACATCAGAGTTAAGATTCAAGGTTTAACGGAAGCTTGCATTGTTAACGTAGTTTAATGATTATGTACACAAATTACGTACATATTAGCATAATCTCTTGCAACGCTGTCATTTACTCTCCGCTGATAAATGCACAGCTCAGTTTTTCTGCCGAGAAAAGCAGATGACCTTCCCAACCCTCTAGCACTGTAATAAAATTGCTCTGTATATTTCTCTCCGTCCTCCAAAAGGTTAGCAAAATAGTGTCTTATGGTTCTGTCCCAAGAAAAGCACCTTTCAAAAGCAAATTGGATGCATCTGCTGCCAAATGGGCATGCCTCCAGTGTAAATCAAAGCAATGCATTTCTTTTGACATTTCACAGAAGTGCATCTCGTTAAAAAACTTACACATGAAATCAGACACCAAGACTAACAGTCACCAATAAAATAGTTTAAGCTACAAAAATGTAAATTACTTTTTAATTATAAGAGAACAAAAACATTGACATTGAGTGTTGCAAAAATCCTTCTTGACACCTGAAACTCAGAAAGAAACAAAACTCTCATTATTAAGAGGCAAATAATGTGTTTACATTAAAAAAAAAAAAAAAAAAAAAAACAACTGTCAACCAAAACTCTATGTTTGGAAAAACTGTCCTTCAAAATGAGGGTGAAATTAAGATACTCCAGCTGAACAAAAGCTGAGGGAGTTCATTATCATGAAACCAGCTCTACAAAAGTACTCCAGGATGAAATAAAAGGACACTAGACAGTAACCTGAAGATGTATAAAGAAAAAAAATCTCCAGTAAAGGTAATTTAATGAGCAAATATAAAGGTCATTTTTATGGTATTTCAGTGTTGTAACTCTACTTGTTATGTCTCACATTATTTAAAAGAGAAACGCATAAAATATAATTAGAAATTTATATTTTTATACACACAATACATAAAGATATAATTTCTGACAAAAACAAAAAGGAGAAGAATGGTATATAAACAGACATTTCGTATGTTATTTAAGTTAAGTTGATATCAATTTAACCTAGGTTGTTACAAATTTAGGGTGTTAAATGTAATCATCCTGGTAACTACAAAGAAAATATCTTAAAAATATACACTAAGGGAAACAAGAAGGGGATCAAAATGGTTATCTACAAAATATTGACTAAACAAAAACTATGCAGTGTTTTGTTTTTAAGCAAACACTGATAGAATTGGAGAGAGAAATAGACAGTTCTGCAATAACCTACAAAGACCTAGCATTAGAAAACCAAAAGGAAGAACACACTCGGCATTTCTCAAGCTGAAAGAACTGAAGAAAAAATTCAACCCTCAAGTTGCAATATTGAAGGAATCTATGGGGAAAATAATAAACGATGTAAGTAGCATCAAAAGAAGATGGAAGGAATACACAGGGTCACTGTAACAAAAAGAATTAGCTGACGTTCAACCATTTCAGGAAGCAGCATATGATCAGGAACCAATGGTACTGAAGGAAGAGGCCCAAGGGGCACTGAAGGCATTGGTGAAAAACAAGGTGCCAGGAATTGAGGGCATACCAACTGAGATGTTTCAATAAACCGAAGCAGTGCTGGAAGTGCTCACTCATCTATGCCAAGAAATTTGGAAGACAGCTACCTGGCCAACCAACTGGAAGAGGTTCATACTTATGTCTATTCCAAAGAAAGGTGATCCAACTGAAAGCGGAAATTGTCAAACAATATCATATGCAAGTAAATTTTGCCGAAGATGGTTCAAAACCTGCAGCAGTACATCGACAAGGAACTGCCAGAAATTCAAGTGGGATTCAGGAGAGGACTTGGAATGAGGGATATCACTGCTTATGTCAGATAGATCCTGGATTAAAGCAGAGAATACCAGAAAGTTGTTTACCTGTGTTTTATTGACATGCAAAGGCATTCGACTATGTGGATCATAACAAATTATGGATAACATTGCAAAAAATGGGAATTCCAGAACACTTTATTGTGCTCATGAGGAACCTGTACATAGATCAGCAGGCAGTCATTCAAACAGAACAATGGGATACTGCATGGTTTAAAGTCAGGAAAGGTGTGCATCAGAGTTGTATCATTTCACCTTACTTATTCAATCTGTATGCTGAGCAAATAATCTGAGAATCTGGACTATATGAAGAAGAATGGGGCATAAGGTTTGGAGGAAGACTCATTAACAACCTATGTTATGCAGATGACACAACCTTGCTTGCTGAAAGTGAAGAAGACTTAAATAAGGTACTTACTGATGCAGATCAAAGGCTACAGCCTTCAGTACCGATTACATCTCAACATAAAGAAAACAAAAATCCTCACAACTGGACCAATAAGCAACGTCATGATAAATGGAGAAAAGATTGAAG